AATGCGTCATTCAGGTCTGCGCACCACACGACGCGCACGTTGCTCGCACGTAGACTGCCGAGGTTGCCGGACTCACTCGACAGATTCCACACACCGTGTTCATGGATACATATCTGATTAATAAATATGAACTTCATATATACATTGATATAAATATAAAGGTAAAAGGTCGCTTAAAGGTAGGCAACGCATATATATATCAATGTATAATACATATGCTAATCATATAATAAATAAATAAATAATAAATCCGGCTTATCTAAGTTTCCTTAACCATAATCTCTGTATAAAATATTGTCATCCTTCTCATTATCTTGAATAATCAAAAATTGAATTACGAACATGTTTCAAACGGGAATTTTGGTCTCAGAAACCCTCGGTTAGTTGTTTGTAGTTATCTTTGTCTAGGAGATTAGTGAGAACAAATGTTGTCATTATTGATAATAGAAAGATGATTATCTAACCTTTTCGAGAGGTAGCATCTTCAACTGTTTGTTATGTATAATGGCGCTCCTAAGTTTCAAATCACGATATAATCTTGAACCCGCATAAGCTCTGAAAATTAAACGAACAAATTAATCAATAATTATAAGAAAAGACATGCGAACCAAGATTTACGATAAATAAATTATTAGCTCATTGCGCAGTGGTCAATACCTGTCACAATTACCCTTTACTAAATGCAAAAGGGTAATTGCAACAAATATTGGCCACTTAAACTGAAAATTTTGGTCTGGTTCCTGTATGTATTCTAGATCGTAAACATCCCAACTTACTTATGCACGCCCACAACTGAGGTGTAATGTCTGACACAATTGGGCGAGAGGTTCGTGAAGATGAACTCGTACTTGTTGTTGTTGTAGTTTGCCAACAGATGGAGCGCCTGTGTGGTCCCCCGCAAACCAGAGTTCACAGTCCTTGTGCTTGTTGATATGATGCAGTTGAGACCTATTGCTGAAAATGTTAATGAATTCATTAATGCTTATTCACATTAAACAAGCCTGTAAAAAGTTTTTTTATATATATTGCTATTAATTTTCTACAGGCGCTTAATTTTATCCGTTCTTTCCCAAAATTATTATCAAAAATAAATGAAATACTGCATTAAATAAAAAAGTATTATTGTATTGTAGTAGTTATGAGTTTGATAAACACTACTTACATAGATTAATCCTGGGTGAACTCAGAGAGTGCCAGATGATCCTTAAATTGGTCACGACCATGCGACCTTTAGTTCCACTGTTGCCTTTGGTATCCTCTATGGGTTCTATTCTATCGAAGATCTTCTCTCCACACCGCAGTCTTAAATACCTTGAATATAAAGTACTTCTCTCGCATACTCAAAACTAACACACTCTTTAAATTGGACAATTGAAACCTCTTTGGTTTACTCAAACTAAATTGACACTGGCTGATTGTATGTTTTGCACAAAAACAAAAAGCAAGAACGTATAGGTACTTTATTCCTGGCAACTTATTTAAAAACAAAGAAAAAAAAAGATGTAAAAAATCTCACGAAAATGGTAGATCGAAGAGCACTTCTCGGTCTTGCCAGACAATAGTCGTTTGTTTTTTAGGCATATTTGCTTTAATAAACAAGTTGGCTGCAAAAAACTGTCCACATGCAGGGGACGATTTACTTCTATTTGTGTATAAGTAACCATAGCAACGATTACGTAATATTACGTCACAATGCAAGTAGTTCATACAGAGGTGTTTTACAACCGAAATGCCAATACACATTGCCTTCCCTTTCATTCTGTTTGAAAAAAAAAAAGAGACAAAATATGTCTTCTGTCATCTGTCATTCGACTAGTAGGTTGTTTTACAAAATTTTATGAAATCAATATAAATTTTTCAATTTAATTAAACCGCAATACTTTGTTTACATCGAAGAAAGTGTAACAAAGACTAGGAATTATTACGACATTTATAAAGGCAAAAGAAAAGAAGGAAATTTCAACACTAAATCATCGCTGGCATCCGTTCCCTCAGATTGTTTGAGATAATTTATTTTGTTCATTACAAGAGCGGAGGGTAAACAAAAAAAATGAATTTATAAAGCTACTGAGAACTTCTAACGTATCTTAGTACGTTGCATATATACAGAATCATATTATTTAGCAACCAGGTCTTATTCATTGCCGGCGTCAGGGTTGGGAGTGGATGGGAGGCCGCCCAGAGCGCTGGAGAGATAGGGACGCCAAAGGTCTCCGAATTACAGTCTTAAGTAACCCTAAACCTCTTCCCCAAAAGGTAGGCTCAAAAATACAGGGCGCAGAGGTGCTCAGAGCACTAGTATATCCAAAATAGTTTAGGTCCGTTCAGATAAACCGGTACAGAGTAAATTTTTTACCGCAAATAAACTTTATGCGATTGTGACATGGTTTGATTTTTCTTTTCACGTATACAGTTCAATTCTTTATCGGTAAAAGCTCAATTTTAATTGCGATAATAATTGCGGTTTCTGTGAACGGACCCTTACTGTCTCATTTTGTTCTCTTTTCATTTAGTTTTCTTTCTGGTGATCTTATTCTGAGATTTCTCTGATGAAATTGAAGAAAACCGTAACATTATAAGATTTTCCAAGCACTTATTAAATTCTAAAAACCGTTTGTTACATGAAGTGAATATCCTTAATTCTTCTAATCCTTAAGGAAAGTCTTTTGAAAGATCTGAACTAATTCAGTTCAACGGGTGTTAAGAAATTCAGGAACATCAGTGAAAATCGAATTAAGGCGTAATTTTCGATTTTCAAGGTGAATGCGTTGAAATTGCTCTATTACTAAGCATTACGGAATTGTAGAATTATTTAAATTTAATGTTATCTTCAATCTTATCTTGTAAACATTATTATCTTTGGTGTTGTCACAACGTTTATTTTTGCCATAGACCATATATACTCTTTGTCGTAGACCATAAATAATTACTACTCTTTGATACTTTCCATGAAACAAAAAAAGATAACAAAAGAAAAATAAACATTACGAAGTAAGATCTCCAAAATCCAACCGACTCATTTCGAAAGTAAATATAAAAAATGATACCAGATTATTTTAAGGACATCTCATTAATTACATTTTAGAAACGCTTTGATATTAGCCTCCCTATCATAATTCTGCCAAACAATTGGTTTTCTTCCTATTTTTTCCGAATCAACATTTTTATTTAATTTTTAACCGGTCACTAATTTTATCAATTGTTTTGACACAAACAAAATTAAATATTATACCAGTACTTTAAATACAACAGTCTGTCTCGTACAAACACACTTAAATTATTTTTAATGAGATGTTTCCAATAAACGAACACTCCAAACGTCATCGAAGAAATAATGCGTTCCCTTGAATTGTGCTCTTACTTTTTTGCCATTTTAATTCATCAGGCGCAAACACACGTTTTACTCGTAAACATTGACTCAAATACTAATTTCACAGGTTAAGCAATGTGACTAAAACAGTAATATTTAGATATATATTTGTTTGCCTCTATGCGTTTACCAAACTATAATAAGTTGTAGACGATTAGCTCTGGCAGGCAATAAACTAAATTAATGTGCGCTCTGTTAGTCTAGTATGACCTACTTGGCACCGCGGTTAAATAATTATTTGTTATAGCCAACTATTTAATGTCCTACCATAGTTTATTACATACAGCCTACCACCCCGGTAATTTACTCGTCACTTTCTAACAAAATAAGAGCACAAAAAATATAATTACAATATTAAAAAAATACATAAATGTATGAAAAATTTGTAATAAGAATACATTTTACATTTTACCAATATTATTGGAAAAACGAATTCATTGAGTATGGCAACCCGAATTATTTTTACAGGTAAAAAATATCCAAACTTTATTTTGATTAAAATCCTTATCTTAATGGTATTGGTTACAAAAGTACCTGCATTGAAGTCCCTTTCGATGTAAGATAGTTCACGTTTATACTATAAAATAAGAAGACTGACACCAAAAGTTGTTATATACGGTTTATTTTAAATTAGTTTGTCCTTCGCCCGTGTAACTTAAAAGGAATGAAAATATACAATCTGTCCTAATTAGATTGGACTTCCAAGCTACCATTAAGGATATACAAACATTTACCTCAACTATTACTAGCTACTATCTTCCCCAGCTAAAATTATAAGCAACTATCGGGTTTATGCTGAAAAGCATAACAAAATAAAGTTTCGAAAATCAAAGTGTAATAATATTTCGTCGAAATGTCACCGACATTAAAAGGAAAGTTTCAGTGTTTTCAATAAAACCTGACAACAAGCTTTACGAAGTTGAACTTGTTAAATGTCGGCGGCAATTGCTTTACGCCTTTACGCTCTACAAAATTTTAATGTCAAAATTGACACTGACATTAAAAAGCCCGCCACATACAAATGTTAAACTTTAAAACGACACCTAATTGTTTTTCCTTTGAAAATGAATCAAAGAAAAATGAAGTTATGACATAAAGGTTACAGTTAATTTAAATAACGCGATCCACTGAATAGGATATGAGAACAATAATACTCTGTCTCCAAATTCGGTACAGCATGGCACAGGATGCCATACATATGTACATACCACATAATAAGCTTTGTTTATTGATTCAGATAAAGCTGCTCGATAAGTTTACAGCCCCGTGCGATTATTTGAAAGGCGCAAATTGGCGCGAACAATAAATATTGTAATAAATAACGCCTGTGAAAAGTTAATAGCATAGGACTATAGTACCTTCTCCTCTAAACATTGTATTTTTTCTTTTTCGGTGTTAATCACGATACTATCCTATTATATATTCAAGAAGCAAGAATCAGCTTTCAGTGTTTATAAATAATAATAAGTAACTGTGTTATATTTCACATTTTCAAAATGCTTTAAATTTTTTGTTTGATCAATTATCATACTCTTTGTCCTGTACAGATAAAAAATAACGCTTGCCATCTGTGAATTTTTGATCTCCTTACTCTATGAATAAATCAATGTCATTTGTCAAATACTTTTGATATTGTTATTGTTTACAAAATTATCTTACCCACGAAATTGTTAAATACCTTAACATTAAACTATATTTCTTGACTTTGCATTGGTCTATAAAACATATTGATTTTTACAAGAGCTTGTTGTGCAAGAATTGATATAATTCTGGTAATAAAAGAATGAGGCTTGAAGACAGATCGATCAGTGGTGAGATTTAAGTTTTATTTATCTATTCATTCATTATTACAATTACATGGTAGTTAACTTTGAGCATAACTAGAACGTAAAATTTGCACTTAACTATGAGCAATGTTTCTATAAACTAAACTAATGTATTGTATTACACGTTTAGTTAAAGTCGTGATGGGATGAACAAGTTAAAACCTGTTCACCTTTACATCCTACGTAACTTTTTATTGTATCTTTTCTACAAAAATTATTTTTCTACCATCTGTTAACTTGAAACATGAGAATAAAGCATTATACTAACTCAAAACTCATGTGAGAAACATCTGTTTTTGTTAAATAGTATATATATATACATAAGTAGTTCTTACATATTTACCAATGTTAAAGATGTACTTTTTGTAATTCCAGATTATAATTATGAATAAAGAAAATAATAGAACTGCAGCTGGTCTGGTGAGTGTATTTTAGTTATGCCAAACCAAAGTTGTAAATTGTAAAATAATGATAAAATATAACTTTGACTGTAAAAAGACGAGAGTGGAAAAAACAGTTAAAAAAAAGGCCTTGTTTTAGAAGATTTTATTTCAACAATGTTTAGTCTAAACAGTATATTAGTATAATCTACTTATCAAATATAATAATTTACAAATTTATGTTTATAGCGGCGTTCTGCAGTTGCTGAAAGAATAAAACTTAGAGAGGAGTGGTCAGCTCTGAAAGGAAATGACAAAGAGTCAAATATCAGAAAGAAACATACTAATATATTGAAGAAGAAACAAGATAACAACATTGCAAAGGATACATATGTGGCCCATATAATTGATACCAACATTGGTGCTGTTAATCGTAGAGTGAGTGATTTTTTGTGTTATAATTGTAATAAAATAATCATTTTTTCAATGAATATGTGATTCATTGCATTGTTTTAATAATTAAATAATACTAATTATGTACAGTCACGGAAATTCGCAGTGTTCCACTTATAGAGAAAGTGCCTTGCAATGAGAGAAACTTAGCCATTTCATATGCCAGCCATCCTACAAATGACCAATTAGATAGCAGTGAGATGAAAAAAAATAGGATGATAATAATAAATAGCAATTAGTTATATACCATTTAATGACTTTATTCTTAAAGACACTTTTAAAAGTCAAGTCCTATTGGGTATTGTTCTGCATTGTTATCTCAGTGTGTACAAAATATTTCAACAATTGTAATTTTTAAGATGGAACACTGCCAGATTCCTTTATTGTACTTACAATTAAGCTTATGTAAACCAAACTAATTTTGTTATTGTGTTTTCTTCACTACATTTTAAAGTTATTATTTTTTCTAAAATTTACCTTAGTTTATTAATTTCTTTTTACTGATTATAGAAAACTATGCCCATTTTTCAATTTATAAAATATTAAGAGCTTGGCAGATGTACTATTTTTATTACTACGCAAGACTAAACTTTAACTCTGTGTAATTTCGCAGTTGCATTTAATTTTGTCATATCGAGTTTTGTTTCTACACAAGTAATTATTTACTTAGTTATATTTGCGAGTTCTAATTTATAATATTTCCCAGGTGACACGTGGTACAGCAAGTACCAGTTATGAGGCTCTGCGCGGTGTGGTTGCGCTGGTGGATGTGGGGGCGGGGAGCCGGGCGCTGGCGTTGCGGGCAGCTCTGAGCGCACTCGGTGCCACCGTCGTGCCCGCCTGGAACCACCTCGTCACACACTTAGTGTGGTCACATGGTTAATCATTTGTTAACATGTAACACTAAATCATGAGTTCACTTTTATTCTTTATAAACATATGGGGACTAGCAGTGCTAACACTAAAGAGGCACAGAGTACTATCCTTTTCTCGAAGCAATTCAGGGCATTTTCGATCACCGATAACTCGGTTGTGGATTAAATTAGAAGCCTGAGTTACCTACTTACTTTATTAGCCAAGTAGACATTGTATAAACAATATAAATTTTATATTTTAAACCAGAATTTTAAGAATTATGACAAGTCATAGTTTCCTACTTTTGTCAGTGACTGTCAAGACTGACTACGAGTGAATACTGTCGGATAGAGTTAGTATGTGGTGTGTCGAGTGCAGATGGATGCCGCAACGTGCGTGGTCGTGCGCGTGCGCTGGCGTGCCGCGTGGTGTCTCCGCTGTGGGTGGAGGCGTGCGCGGCGAGCGGCCGTCGTCTGCCCGAGGACACCTTCCCCGCACCCTCGCGACCCTCCGACCTGCCATCACCTAGGACTTTGAGGATCATGCTGGTCAGACATACACTACCACATTAGCATTATTCATCAATCTATTTGTTAACTTACTTACCAATATTATAAATGCAAATAGATGGATGGATGGATGTTCGTTAGAATGTATCTCCAAAACGGCTCAACGGATTTCGATTAAATTTGACCTAGAAGTAGAGCATAGTCTGGAAGAGCACATTGACTACTTATTTAATTTGTTTTAATGCCGCGTGTAAGGATTCGCGGGCGACAGCTAGTTAAAAAAAATCATTACTACCACTGAAACTCCGGTCTATGTTCGAAGCACATATCCTTATATTATTACGCGTCGACAAATTTTCGGACAAAAGCTAAATTATTATATACGTGTCTTTTACTTTTTAGAAAAAAGCTGAAATGGAGAACATTAGCTTAGCGGCGTTGCTATCGGACAGTACAGAAGATGACGACTCTAAGAAGCTAACACTTCGCATGTCCAGCGAATCTGACACGTCAAACACGTCGGCTAACACGTCAGCAAACACGTCGCGTGACACATCACATAACAAAACTGGTAAATTACAATAACAGTAATCAAGTTAAATTACAACCATAACTATTTAATTTACCCTGGGTTTCTGAGTACACTATCTCCGTTTAAAACATTTTATTTCCGTGTTGTCAAAGGTAAAAACAGGGATAACGATATGTTATACAGCTATTTTAGTGTCAAAAACCCACGATGTCTCACTTATAAAATGTTACATTTAAATGGAAAAAATTGTAATAGTTGAAAGAATGGTAAAGTCTCAAGATACTGGTCCTTATACAAGTATTAATACCAGTATAAGTTGACCCTTCCTCTGTCCACAGAGACGCGAGTCAACACAGCGCCGCGACGTCCTCCAACATCTATAAAAACACAACCGCCCAAGAAATCTAAAAGAAAATTATTTACACAGAAGGACCCAGATCTAACAAAAGGCAGTGCTATTGATTCAGGTAAATTTGTGCATAGTTGAGGACATTAATTTCCTAACCATATGTCGCCTTGATACTCAAAATGCCTTTAAGTCGGAAATTGGTGTACCGAAATTATCATACTGAAAAAAATATCTTACTAATATTATAAATGCGAATATTTGCATGGACGGATAAAGGTAGCTTCAAAATTTTGCATAGATGTAGGACAGTCTAAAAATTCCATTGTCGCTTCCTATAGTCAAAAAATTTATTTGATGTTTGTAATTAAATTTAACTTATATATTTTTAGTATATTTCAATATGTACTAATACGATATTTATATTTCAGATGCGGACCGTACACCAGCTCGAGCAAAGCAGTTGACATATGAAGAGAGACGAGAACTGGCGCGTGCAGGCAGACTGGCGCGCAGGCTGCTGCGTGCGCGCTCAGACACGCCCGCACGACATGCGCACGCGCACGCCACCGACACGCACACGTACAGAGTGGTATGTACAGTCAGGGCAATTCGCGGTGATACACTTACAGAAAATCGCATTATTACTTGTAATAATACTCCGGAGTTTCTTATAAAGTAACAAAGTAACAGAGAGTTGTGCAAATGCTAACCTAACCTAACTTTTTAAAATAATTTTCAGGTATTAACAGGTATGTCTAGATCAGAACGACAAGCAGCTCACAACGCAATACGTGCGTTAAATGGACGCATACAGAAACAAGTCAATAAATCAACCACACATGTTCTATTAGGTTCATGTAAACAGGACTCCATACAAAATAATTTAAACACAACGAATATGACAAATAGGGTAAATGAAAAACAAAATATAATAAATTTTATTTACAATCATAAGGCAACGAAAACAAATATATCTGGATTAAAAAATATAACAAGTGAAATGACTAGAATTGACAATATGGCGGAAGCTGTCAATGTTAACAAAATGGCGGGAATTGACAAGATGGCGTCATGTATGACACAAGTTGACGTCACAAACGTTGACAATCCAACAATTGATACTATTGGAGTTAGAACAGATAAATTAAGGACAGTAAACGCTTTGTTGGGCGCAGCTAGAGGTTGCCGAGTTTTGTACGCTAAATGGGCGCTAGATTCATTGGAAGCAAAGCAATGGTTACATCATTATGGTTATGAAGTACCGCATCTTAGGAAGATAGCTATGGTAAGTGGATTATATGACAGTCAGCATCATCAACTCGCCTGGCAACTTCAAAATCATATTAAAAAATCTTAATAGCATGGAGGAGTAAATTTAAAAAGTATATAACCGATTAAAAAAAACCTCTTTTGATATCAAATAACCTTATATTTCTTTCTTTGTCTAACTATCACATGTAGTGTAATTTTAGAATGCGAAATCTATACAAAGAGTATGTTTTCCAAACAGTTTTAATAGTGATGGGTAACTCAACTTAAAATTGAGAGCTGCGTACCTGCAGATCACCTCACGGTTCACATTAGTGAAACAAATCAGTGAACCGGTTCACAGCTCATCTCTATTTGTACCTGCATAGTTATTTGCGTTTTGAGCGGGGAATTGTGAGTCATAGTACGTTACGATGAGCCGTGAGCTGCCAATTTAGTTGTTGAGCTGCAACTCAACGGTTCAAGTCTACGTGACCTGAACTTTTGAACCGGTTCAGAGCTGATTTACAAACGTTTACTTTTTAATAATATACATTTTATTTATGTTTTATTTCAGAAAGCGCGTGTAGAAAGGCAGGCTTTGGGGAGAATGCGCTCCGAATATGCGTATGACGTATTTAACGGTATGCGGGTGCGGATTTCGCCCAACGCCGACCAGAGAGACGCCATTGTACAACTCCTGTCACTTTGTGGCGCTGTTGTACAAGATGGCGGCGGCGTACAAAATGGCGGGGATGCACAGAATGGTCGCGATTATGATATCATTATAGGAGTTTCAGAGAATGAAGTTAGCTCCAAATGGGTATTCGACAGTGTCGCCGCGGCCAGAATGAGAACAACAAGGAAGTATACCAACAAAATAATTCCAGAAAGTTCTGAATCTCTTACTCAGTAATACACTCGAAGATTTTTTAGATTGTTTTACCTATTTTGTTATTTATATATTTTTGTTGATTTACATATGTTGTTTGTAGTTTTGCAGATCTGATATTTAAGATGACTGATGAAATCAAACACAACTATATTGAAAACTTGTTTAATTTTATTCCCAACCTTATCCTAATTACAGTCGAACCTGGATAACGAAGAAACCTCTTTAGCCATTTTTTGTACAACCACCATAAGCGTGAAAAACTTGACAGTGGTAGAGCCCGCTTTAAAAATTCGTACGAATTGTCCCGGCTCATCCGGTGAAATACCACGACCACACAGAAGACAGGCATCAAGTGGAAGCAATTCCGCGTTTCGTCTGATGAATGTGCGTCCCGGAGGCCTAATTTTAGTCCTCTTTCCCTTCTCACCTTTTATTCTTATAAAAGGATTTAAAGTGGAAGTGTATTTTCCTCATGGGAAGGGAAAATATTCTCTTCATCTCGTTCTCCGTCGATTAAAGGTAGGCAACGTATCTGCAATTGCGTATGTCTATGGGCATAGATCGATTCGCTATTTTAGCGATTTAAGGTGGCCGCTCGCTCTCGCTCTAATCTAAAAAAAACTCGGGTTAGGCACCTCGTATTGCTCGCATATTTGAAAAGAACTATACTTATCGAAACAGGATAATTCTTTTATGCATTTGATGTTAAAAAATATGAACAACGGCCTGCATCAAACGATTATGATTCATACACGATTTTAATGTAACGTAATATAAATAATTCAAGCGCACATAATTACGCAATACAATAACGTATTATCATAAACATTGGTTCAGTTCGTATACGGAACAATTGACGCGTTATTGAATTCCTTCAATATGCGAGTCTGACCAAAAGCTGTCATACTTGTATATGTTTTTTATGTTATTTTTAAAAATATAAAACTGCATAATTTAGCTTATAGATGGGTAAACAATAAAACAGGCTATAAAATACAAAATTTAATTTAAATACGAACAGAGGTCTCCCACAAATAGTATTTTCAATTACGGATGTCTATGGGCAGAGGTCGCTTCGCTATTTCGGCGTATTCAGGCCGCTAACTCGTTTGCTATCCTTAAGACATAAAAAAGAGTTAGGAAACTGATGTATATCACTGCCAAATTCACTAGGGATGGATAGAAGGAGGTCGTTTTCTTATTCTTTACTCACTCTGTCAAACGGTAAGGCATCTACAACACGGTCTATATACTAACACATAGCGTAAGCTCACTATACGTCCCTATTGAAGGACTCGGAGCCTTCCCTAATTGTAAGTTGATATAATAGGGTAAAAATAAACTAAATTAGGTATAGAAAATTATCAAGACGCTTAATTATATCACGAAAATTTAAATTTTCACACGATTTTTTAAATTGAGAATGACGCCATCTATATATGTAATTGAAAATTATTCTAAATTTGAAGAAAGTTTCTCAAAACTTTATGCAAATTAGAATGAAACTAAATTCAAACAAGCCTATAAAAATAAATCGTTATTTTTTTACGTTACTTTTACTTTGGCAATATAATGTTATTCAACATTCTCTAATAATTGTCAGGCATCAAATTCTTATAATAAAACTAGTTTTAAAGAGTTCGAAAATCAAATAAATACACTATCATGGAATAAACTTTAATTGTAATAAAATTGAACACATGCGATTAAACAATAGTAATTCTTCTCTGTGAACTGCAGCTGCGTTGTCGGCCTTTATACAAATGGTATGCTCGCTTCTTGAAGGACCCTAAGTCGTACTACTTTGGAAATAGGTTCCCATAATAAGTTTTTTTTTATATATTAAGCATAACCGTATGCTGTCATAAGTGTTATTTGTTTTAATATGTTTGTGTTGGAATTATTTAAATTTACAATCTATACAAAAATTAATCTATGACTGTTCTATTGTTTATGGTCTAGGGTAAAAATGCCCACTGAAATTTTTGTCATTATCACTTCTGACTTTGCTCTGAGCTGTGCTAGGGATCGGACATATACTTCCATAGTGTTTTTTATAAAAAGAATGTTATATAAAAGTTTATTTAAAATCCTTAACAGTTGTTTTTACTTTTTACCATAACTTCCTATAGTTTGAATTATAAATGCAGTTAAAGCATATGATTGATATTTTTACTATTGGCTCGATTTGTAGGCAGCAACAATAATAATTATTAATTTATTTTCAGATAAAACATACAGTAAGAACAATTTCTGCATTTTGTTACTATTCATCATCATTATCAGCTCACTATACGTCCCCACCGAGGGGCTCGGAGCCTACCCTAAGTTAAGGGTGATTAAGCCATAGTCAACCACGCTGGCCAAATGCGAGTTGGTTGACTTCACACATATCTTTGAATTTCTTCACAGATATGTGCAGGTTGCATCACGATGTTTTCTTCACCGTAAGAACGTCGGATAAATGTACATATGTAAATCGTAAATCGAAAAACACATTGGTACATGGCGGGATTCGAACCCGGGACCTGCAGATTGCAAGTCAAGTGTTTGACAACTGAGCCACCGACGCTCATTTTGTTACTATTGCGTGGTATAAATAGCTATAGTTAAATTGTGTCTTATTTTTTTCAAGCAGAATACCTTACCTTTTAGCAGGTCACCTTAGTAGATCCTTTGGCAATATTGAACTGCGGTTTACCACTATTAAAATTTAAAATCTTATCTGGAAGTTTCGCCAGTACGAATTTACGGGTAACTAGTCGAATCTGCAATATTAAAAACTATTTATGTACCTTAGATTAGTTACAATATTAATAAGTTTACAGGAAAATGAAATACAAGAATACTTTATCTTTTAATGTTACTAAATTATAAATGTTTGGATGGATGTATGGATGTTTGAACGTATCTCCAGAACGGCTGCTTAGATGTCACTGGAACTTAGCATAGATGTAGAGTATCTAGAAGAACACTTTTAGTTTTTAATCCCGCGCAGACGGAGTCGCGGGCAAAAGCTAGTTTTCATTATAAATGTAGTCAATAACACATTGGCAAGTATATGCATGTATTGTTTATTTTTACTATGTAACACGTATACTGCGTAGTATTAAAGAGAAGGGTTACTACGTAGTTAAAAAAGGGTTAGGAATTGCGTGTAAAGTTCGACCCTAAAATGTTTGGTATTTATCAACAAGTACTTAACTTACCACTGGTTTCTAATACCACCATCTCCGTTCAAAACATATTTGGTTGTTTGAAGATGGATGGATGGACATGGATGACGATGTTACAAAGATTTCGGTCTCGGAAACCTACGGTTAGTCTTCATTGACTTAAGTATGATATTGGAATGAAAAAAAATAATGCAAAACTGTGGAATGTAAATCTTTATAAACAAGTTCATTTTATTTTAACAAAAAAATTGCAAGTACAAGTTTTTTTTTACATTTTATTAAAAAAATATTAAAAATAAGTCATGTTGACGACATTCGAGAAATGATGACGAAATCTTGCTTTACTTGTGTGTCAAGGACATGGTTCTGGTTTTAAACCGAACTTATTGGATATTGCGAAACATTATAACAATCATATATCGAGTAACAATCCATTTTAAATATATAATATAAAATCCATTAATTAAATTATTATTGTTTTTTCTCCAAGTATGAGGATATTTTCGTATCGTTAAGTCATAGTTTCATTTTACTCCATAACTCCAATAATTTGAAGAATTAAGCCGGCGATCCATTGGCCAGAAGAACAGTACCCAAATAACGAAGTTACTTTGGGATCAAGGCAAAGATTGGTTCCCGGAGGCCTAATTTTAGTACTCTTTCCCTTCCCATTCTTTTTTATAGTAAAAAGAATTTGATGGAAAAGCGGCATAAGGGAAAACATTCATTTTTTTTCCTCCCTCGATTTAAAGTAGACATCGCTTCAGCAACTGCAGATGTCTATGGGCAGCTGTCGTTTCGCCATTTCAGCGAATTCAAGTCCCCGCGTGCTCTTTAGCCATATTATTATATAAAAAATGCGTATAGTTTGTCAGTATTAATCCATCAATGTTCAACTTTCCCCTGTCTTGCTCTTCGCTGTTGTATACTGCTTAGTCACGGCGCGAGCGGTGATACCGTTCGATAGGTCAAAGTATTTTCTAAGAACTGTAGTACGACTTTTACAACTGCGCTAGTGTTGTGCGGTACACGAGTCCTAAGTTAGGTTTCGGTACAACGTAACTGAGTTTCAACGAAATATACGTATAAATAAGTATAAATAAATCTTAGTATTATAAGAGCTAGTGAGATATAAACAGTGTTTTAGTATTCATGTTTTTTTTCTATTTAAACCTATAGTAAGATTGATTTTTTTTTATTATTACTAACTAAAACTCTTGCCTGATTAACAACGGTTTGATGATACACGAATAAAACTTAGAAATGCTGTAAAAAATGCAAATAAAAAATTAAAATTAAAATAATAAATTGTTAAGTGAATCCAAATGACCTTTGACTAATTAATCTTAATTACGTACAAAATTATAAAAATTTAACAAAACACTTACGATATTAGTAACAATTGAACATAAATAAACCTTTAACAGCAAAATATTTATTTCCTTTTGTACGATAAACATGTTTTAGGATCTTGAGTGCGGTACATTTGGGGTCCAACAATTTCCCTTGTCATTACAAGCGCTTTATCGACTTCCTATCTTCATTTTGTCCAGGTGCAACGGACGGAAGTCAATAATTGAACTAATTGTAAAGAGTTGTTGCACTCCCGACTAAGAATGACATGTCTGATAAAAGATGGCTGACACATATAATGCGATTAACACATTTGGTTTTACCGTGAAATTCCACACTTGAGTTAATTGTATAATATTGTTATCCCTTTCATAACTATTAAGAAAATAGAAATAAAATGTTTCAACAGAACTTACAGCTAAGAAATTTCACGGCGAATACTAATGGAAACAATGGTTGGCTACTTTAGTTTTATTGGTCATCGGGACAAAGAAGTTTGTAGCACTATGCTATCTCATTGTGTCAGTTAACTTAATAATACATTAAATTCAATATCTATAAGAAATTAAATATTCTAATGACAATCCCAAAAAGTCTAGTCGAATGTAGACAATCATTTTCGATTTTT